CTAAGCCTAATCTTAATCAATGAAGGGGGAAACACCATTAGCTGTCATATTTACAAGTTAAATTCAAGATATAGAGTACATGCCAGTGCACACACCTGTGGGCTTTAGAAGTCATATGCTATGACTGACCGAAATGTCATTAGATAAAATCTTTTCCTTATTCAAAAGCAGAGAACAACTGCCACTTTCTCCTAGTGGCTAGAATATGTAACACCCAGAGTATCAGTCATCTCTTTAAACCAGATAAGACTACTTTCAAAGTATAATTCTCATACATACATTATACACACACGCACACACACACACAAACACATATAGAAATATGTATTTCAAGTGGGCTTTGGTGCAGCTCAACAATCACACTACATTTTCCCAGTCTGTTCATTCTTCCAGATAAAAAGTTTTGTCTTTTCTACTCTCTCCTCAAACTTCTAATACATTTCCCCTATCCTCACTTTCAGCTGAGAACCTTGCTTCCTGTTTACTGAGAAATCAGAAGCAATCAGTAGAGAAATTCTGCAGGTTCTCGCCATCAGGACATCTACACATTCCACCTCCGTCCCGTTACTACGGGTGAAATCTCTGTGCCCCTGTGGCCAACCACTCCACTGGAGCACTGCATCGCCATCACATTGCCTTCTCAAGGCTATTGCTCCGGAAGGCTCTTCTCTCCCTCCCCTGCTTCATTCATTCATGGTTTCTTCTTTTTGGCCTTCCTATTAACAAAACCATGATTATTTCTTCCATTTTACAGAGAAAAACACTTTCATCACTGCTCTTTCCCCTCAAGCAACCACTCTATTTTTCTCATTCTTTCACAGAAAACACTCCTCAAGAGTCTGCATGTATTCTACTTCATGTTAAACCATTTTCTTTTGAACCCAAAATGACCACTGTTCAATCCGATGGTCAATTTTCAGTGGTCATACTGACATAGCAGCAGCATTGAATACAACCCTGAACACAGCTGTTTATTCTCTTCCTTGATGACACTGTCCATGTGGTTTTCAGAACTCCACATGCTCCTGGTATTCCTCCCATCCTTCTGGCCATTCCTTTACACTCTCCTTTGATTGCTCCTTTTCATCTCCACAGCCTCTAAAGTAAAACTATTATTCCAGGGCCCAGTCTTTAGGTTTATTTTCTTTCTTATCCTCACCCAAGGACATTTTTCCATTTTTTGTTCAGATAGAGTGGGAGGGGAAGAGAGAGAGAGAGAGAGAGATCAACGTGAAAGGGACACATTGAGTGGCTGCCTCCCATACAACCCCAACCAGGGCCGGGGACAAACTGCAACCAAGGTACATGCCCTTAGCGGGAACCAAAACCAGGTCTCTCTGGACCGCAGGCCGACGCTCTAACCGCTAGGCCAAACCGGCCAGGGCTAGGTTTATTTTCTTAACCAGTATTTTCTCCCTTGATCTCAGCCAGCTTCATGATTTCGACTATCATTTTTTTGCACATGGTCCCCAAATTTACATCTTTAGCCAAGATTGTCTTCCTGAACCTCAGACTTTTATATACAAGGCTTACTTACCACTTCCACCACCTATCTAATAAGCATCTTAACTCTGACATGCCTTGTTTAACTAACCACCTGGTCATCACTAAACCGGCCCTCTCCACAGCCCTCCCAGTGTCCAGACTAAACATCCTGACAACTCTTCCTCTTACATCCTACATCTGACCTGTTGGCAAATTTTATTTCTATCACCTTCAAAATACGGTCAGAATTGACTACATCTAATAACTCCCCTGCTCTAAGCTACGACCACCTCTCCAAATGTTATTATTGTTAATAATATTATTGCAATAGTCATAATAGGTCTCCCTGCATTGGTTCTTACCCCTCCTATGGCAGACACAGCCTAAGTCAAATTATATCACTTCTATCTTCAGCAACTTTCTTTCTTGTCCCTTCTCACTTACAATAAAAGCCAAAGTCCTTACAAAGAACTTTAAGGCCCCATATGATATGGCTCCTGGTTACCTTTACCTTTCCGATCTCATCACCAACTACTGCCCCATTTGTTCACTCTGCTCCAGCCACCAAGGCTTGGTGTTCCTCAGACATACATGGTGCACGCCTGCTTCAGGGCCTCGGCACTTGTTCCCTCTGCGCAGGGACATCTGCATGGCTCACCCCCTCACTTCCTTCAAGTCTTTGTTCAGACATCCCCAACCACACCACCAACCACAACCACCATTATATCACTGACAGTTACATACACATATAGACTCATTCGTTAGCTCCCCTATGTGCCTTTTTTTTTTTTATCTTCAGCAATTATGATAAATGTCAGAAATTTATTACGAATAGTCTGCATTAATGTGCTCTCATATAACTATAGTATGTGGTGCTATGGAAGTATAAGACTACTGAGGTTTTAAGGGCTTATGTTCAGAGTATTTGATGTGTTAAACAAGGTAGTATGGCCCAGGGCAGGAAGAACAGGATAAGACATTAAGTTGGGTAAGGTTAATTCAAATGTTGACAAGTCAAATTACTGCTGAAAACTATGTGCAATGCTGCTACAATAATCAAAATTTTACTGTCTTCCATTCTATGTTAATTATAAAAAGGCAGTTAAATAAGTACAATGAATTACATTACCATTTTTCATTTATTTCATACAACCAACCTATTAATAAAGGTTAATGTAATTTCCATCAGAGAAAAATTATAGACAATACCTCCATCATTTACAAATTTAAACATTAGTAAGACATTAGTTAATAATATCCCATACAATTTTCTAAAAACATAATAAAATTCAAATAGAGAAAAATCAGTAATATATCTATTGACATGACAGGATTTTATTTAAAAAATATTTTCAAATGTAACATATATAAAATAACTATATACTTATAAAATATTAAATTACCTTTGTTTCTTTGGAGCTCATTTTTCAAGTCTTCAATAATAAAAGTATTTTTTTCCATTTCTTTTGTATATTGTTCTACTTGCTCAGTGAGCATCTTAATATGACTATCTCGTTCTTGTATACCCTATAAGATATTTTTGAACATTACATATTATCTTTTCAATAATATTAACATCCATTTCTTGTTGTTAATCCTCACCCAAGGATATTTTTCCACTGATTTTTTTAGATAGAGTGGAAGGGAGGGAAGGAGGCAGAGAGAGAGAGAGAGAGAGAGAGAGAGAGAGAGAGAGAGAGAGAGAGAACATCGATGTAAAAGAGACACATCGACTGGTTGGTTGCCTCCCACACAACCCTGACCGGGGCCAGGACAATCCTGCAACCCAGGTGTGTGCCCTTGTCCAGGAACCAAACCTGCGACCCTTTGGTCCTCAGGTAGATACTGTAACTGCTGAGCCAAACCAGCCAAGGCTTAACACACATTTTAAAAGTAAGAAAAGAGGTAGGTATTGTTTTTAATGAGATTATAGACTATATATTTTGTGAGTTAAAACTGTACCTTTTACTATTTCCTATATCTCAATTGCACTATATATACATCATTAAGTACACTGCTGTCACTCTAATACTTAAATGTGGTTTAATGGCTAACTCTCGGGCAAACAGGAATTCTAAAACTCTCTAATATTTGTGGCTTCTTAGGGCTCCTTTGATGTTACTTTTCCCCAACACCCACCTTTTTGTATGTTTGTGTTTGGCCCTGTGCATTCTCACTTACTCAACTTAGCTTTTACCCCTGCAGCACTTCATTCACAATGACTGTCCCTTAAAATTATTCTTATTCACCAAATACTTCCAAAATGTCCTTCTTTCTTTTGAGCTGAGTATAAAGCACTGATAATGAAAGTATAACATCTTTCTATATGAATACATTTGTACTAAAAATGAAATCCTTATGTAGTACAATTATAACCACTTTTAGCCTCCTTCACATTCTATAGCATACTTCACTAAAATACAATAAAGTTTAATAAGAATGTTAAGATATATTAAAATTTCTAAAAGTTTTTAAGTTTCATATTAAATAATTCCCAATCAGAACAATAAATATCTACACCAATGCAGAAAAATACACAAAATAATTATATTCCCAATTCTAATATTTTTGTGGGACTGGACAGTGTAAGAAACTCCAAGAGATTTTACTACCTATCCAATAGTACAAGCCACTAGATTAGGCATAGGTGATATAATAAGACATAGTGCAAGGTTTCATTGCCAACTTTAATAAAACTGGTTGAGCCCTGGCCAGTTTGGCTCAGCAGTTACAGCGACAGCCCATGCACCGTAGGGTCAAGGGTTCAATTTCTGGTCAAGGGCACATATCTGGATTGCAGGTTTGACCCCTGACCCTGGTGGTCATGTGGGAGGCAGCCAATCAATGTCTCTCTCTCTCACTGATATGTCTCTCTCCTTCCTTCTCCCTCCCTTCCACTCTATCCAAAAAAAAGGAAAAATACCCTCAAGTAAGGATTAACAATAAATAAAATAAAACTGGTTGACAACCCGAATTTTGAGAAGGTTTTACCTGTTGTAGAGCCATGACATTACTTTTATCAGCATCAAGCTGGGCATTTTTCAGTTTCTCCCTCAGGTTATGTAACATTTGCTGATATTCAATAATTTCGTCATCTTTAGAAGACAAAATTAACTAGAAATAAACAAAGTAGGATTTATTACATAAGAGAAAATTTAATAAACCATTCCTCATTTACGATAAATACTTTAATAGATACCATCAGGGGATTTTAAAAAAAACAAAGTAAATAAAATATTTGAAGTATTTGCAACTAGTGAATAATCATTGTTCCTCGTGTCTACAACCTGAAGTTCAAATAAGAAATGATTCAAAACTACACACTGTAATTTTTGCTATTCTAGGAACTGAATCTTTAAACAATCCAAAGCTTTCAAAACCCATTCCTAAAACAAGAAATTATAAATACTTCCATGCAATTACAGAAAATTTTATACAATTAATCTTTATGAAGAAAACATTAAAGTGCCATTGAGAAGCATAGACTGTCTTGAATGAACAAAAGGTATCTTGTAGTGTCGTTGTGAAAGGAGGTTATCACTCCCCTTGACAAGGATGAGAGGCCCTCGGGCCTGACAACATACATGGGGTCAAGGCATTGAAACCTACTTCATGGCATCTAACCATTGTTTTTTAATATTGTCTTGCATACTTGAAAACAGCTAGGAGAGCGGATTTTGAAAGTTCTCATCCCCCCTCCCAAAAATTGTAACTATGTATGGTGACAGATGTTAACTGTATTTATTGCGGTGATGATCATTTTGCAATACATACAAATATCAAATCATTACATTGTACACCTGAAACTAATGGAATGTTATGTCCATTATACCTCAGTTTTAAAAAAAGTATCTTATGTTCTTTGCTAGCAGGACCAAATATCAACAGCAATCTATAAATTAATTTATAAATTGAATACATACCCAATAAAAAAACTAAAATATTTTTGAAAACTAAAATATTTTTTAAAAACTAAAATATTTTTTAGTATTTGTATTAAAAAACACATTGATAAGTCTAAAAATAGAAAAATTGGAAGAGCTTTTTTCAAATGGTTAAATATAACAATAATGAAAACAAGTATACATGGTTAAAAAATAGGTCAATCAATATTTAAAAAGTCCTAAATTAAATTCAAATTCAACAGGAGTTTTGTATGTACTAAAAATGGAACTGTATTTCAGTACAGAGAATGATAAAATATCCAATAAATGATGTTTGGACAACAGACTACCTCTAGTGCATCCATATCTCATTCTTCATACTAAAATGAATTACATATGCTTCAAAGATCTAAATGTAAAAAGTGAAACTAAAAGATACAAGAAAATATGAACAAATAATTTTATATTCATAATCCTTTTTAATCATGATACGAAGGCCAAAAGCCATAAAAATACATTAACTATGTAATATATAAAAACATACTTGACAGCAAAAAAAACCCATAAAGCCAATATACAAGTGACAAACTGAAGAGCAATATGTATCACAATTATACTTGTAGCAATTTATTCTACACGTATACATTTTCAAAATAATGAATATACAAACATATTCATTAAAACATCGTTTCCAGCGCAGCTGGTGTTGCTCAGTGGATTGAGTGTCATCCCATGGACTGAGAGGTCCTGGTTTTATTCCTGGTCAGGGCACATGCCAGGGTATCTGGCTTAATCCCTGGGGTGGGGGGGCATGCAGGAGGCAGCCGATAGATGTTTTCTCTCACATCGATGTTTCTCTCTCTCTATCCCTCTCTCTAAAAAATCAATAAAAACATATTTAAAACAAAAACATTGTTTCCAGCAGCAAAAATTGGAAACCTCCCAAGCATCACAAAGTAATTACTCAATTAAAGAAAAAACAAATCTACAAAAAATTACATAGCCGTTAAAAAGAACAATGCAGCCTTGGCCAGTTTGGCTCAGCGGTCAGAATGTTGACCTGTGGACCAAAGAGCTGCAGGTTTGATTCTGGTCAAGGGCACATACCTCGGTTGTGGTTTGGTTCCTGGCCCTGGTCGGGTTGTGTGGAAGGTAACCAGTAAATGTGTGTCTCTCACATCAATGTTTCAGTCTCTCTCTCTCTCTCTCTCTCACTCTCTCTCTCTCTCTTTCCCTCCCACTCTATCTGAAGATAAATAGAAAAAAAATCCTCAGGTGAGGATTAAAAAAAAAAGAACATGCATACTTTGTGCAGGGATATAAAATAACACTTTAAAAAAGATACTAAGCAAAAACAAAGTAGAAAAGAATGTATATGCTACCATCTCTCCTAAAATTAAATATGATAAAAATAATTTGGCTTGCTACCTGTTTTTGTAAACATTTACTGGAAAAAACCTTGCTCATTCTTTTATGTACTGTATACAATTGCTTTCATGCAATAATAGCAGAATTGAGTAATTACATCAGAGACCAAATGGTCTAAAATACACCCCCTCGCCTTCTACAGGAAGTTTACTGACCTCTGAGTCTGTAGGCCTCATTTCGAACGTTACTGCCTTTGTTTATTTATTTTTTCTTTATTGATTTTTAGAGAAAGAGGAAGGGAAAATGAGAGAGAAATAGAAGCATAAATGAGAGAGAACATCGAATGGCTATCTCCTAAATGCCCCCCACTGGGGATCAGGCCCACAACCTGGGCATGTGCCCTGACCGGGAATCGAACTGGTGACCTTCTGGTGCATGGGTTGATGTTCAACTCTTGAACCACACCCGCCAGTCTGCCTTTGTTCATCTGTGCTTCCCAGATGATTACCAAGTCCAAATGGCCAATAAGATTTATGTAAACCCTGTTAGAAACATTGACTATAGAAGTGATAGCTTTTAGAATTATTTATTCAAAATCATTTTAGATGTTTTTGTTTTTCTTCAAAATATGCAATCATTACAATCCTAGTTTCTGACTTGGTGAGGCTGGGGATATGCTGTGGTTGGAGAGTGGTGAGGAGAAAAAGATTTCTGAAAAGACCGCTCAGGTGATTCCAAAAGCCCCCTTTCCTTACTCCCATTCCCAGTGAATGCCAAAAGCTTGATTAATCTGACATGGAAAATGAGTCAGAACAACTGACTCGACACTAAAATTTAACCTGCAACTACATAACTAATGTATACAAGGTAACTATCATTCGTGTAAAAATATTTAAATTTATTTAGAATTAACTATTTTAGATGACAAATACATTACATTTTGGACTTAGATTTCTATCAAAAAGTTTAATTTTAAGTTTAACTCACTGATGTGAAAGAGCTCATTCAACAGCAAATAAGCAAGAAAACTACACAGGACATTTAAGTTTTTCTAGCTAAGATATTTAATACACTTTTTAAAATGCCTAATAAAAATTTCATTAACTGTTATAAGGCCTTTAAAGAAAACTAAGACTAAGAAATTGAAATGTACACTGGAGAGAAAAAAGACATTATATCAATTGAAAAAGCACCTTCCATTCTTCTACTTTTGCATTGACAGCTATCATGATTGGATCATCTTCTTCATTTTTTGCTTTTAGAAGATCTGTAAGCTCTTGCACCTAAAGGGCAACAATTATTTCAAGAATCATTGCAAATCAGTGCAATATAAACACATTTATTATATATGAATGCTTATAAATACATTACATACATATTATGCATATACATACACATATATACACCTTACAAATGCATATTCATTTTTGGAGCAGTTCTGTAGTTAGAAGTGACATTTAATGGTTTCTGCATCTTTATAGTTATATAACTCTTTTCATTACTAGAAAATTATACTTTTAAACATTATTATATTTTCTTAAATAAGTTTAAACACATGTAAGTGTAACTATTTTTTTGATATTTATAGTACATTTATGGTATAAAATTAAACTTTATGGTCCACAGAACTCCTAAGAGTCCTTAGTAGAAAATTCCCATAATTATTAGCTTTGTAGGACTACTATCTACACATTCACTAAGGTATCACCTTTATACCCTACATGGCAAGAATTATAAGGTATATGTAAGAAAATTAGAAAAATAAATAATGGACAAATATATCAGCAAGGCAACACATTACAGTATAAAATGACATATTACAGCATAAGACAAAAATTCATATCCTAGAAAGTTAAAGTACCATCTAGTATCAAATAATTAAGAAAAATGCAATATGAGGTCTGCAAAAATAAGTTAGTCCAACAGGAATTCTTACTTGAAGTCGATAATGATCATTTTCTTTTTTTAATTGGTCCATTAGATTATCTGTCTGATGCACAATAGCTTTCATTCTATTATATTCATCGGTCATCTTCTCCATTTCCTGTACAGACTCTTCCAAATTTTTTCTCATTTCTTGATTCTGAACTTCAATTTTCTCATTCGCTTCTGTTAAAGTCTAAGAAAGTTAAAGACACTATGATTTCAAACAATTTAAGACACTGAAATTTAAGCTAAATTAAAATTAAATGGCATCATAAGTCTCTGTTGGAGAAAAGAAAATTCTTTATAGATCTTTAGTATCAACTGTTGTTGACCAATGAAATCAAATTAATATCAAGAAAACTTTACCTAAGGATCTTCTTAAACAATGGCCAAGAGAGGCATATAAAAATAATAAATTTGCAAGAAGATTTGCAACTTCAAAGATGCAATTTGTTTCATGTCTTACAAGTACAAAGTTACAGATTTATAACCAAAGAATTTAAATGTAGGGCTAAATAGTATATTTATACTATAATGAAATTAAAGTTTTATAAGAATCATTGCCTTGAATTGACTTCTATCCATTTTACCTGAATTTCATCCAGATATTGAACAAGTTCATAGTTTTTTTTAGACAATTGTGATCGATAGTCACTGTCTTCTCCTCTTCTTGTTAAAAGTGTTTCTTTTTGCGAATCTATTTGTTTCTGATAGTCAATCACATCTTGACGAAGCTGTTCATTCTAAAGGTAGAAAAAACACAGTATTCTATTAAAAAAAAATCCAGAAAAACAAAATTGTATACTCTAGTGATCTCAAAACATATCTTAAAATCCCCAGATTTTATCACCCTTAAAGCCTCACCTTTTTCTTTAGACGTTTGTTCTCCAGAAAATGACAGGAAAGGGTAATTAGAAATGAGAAAGGCAATATATAATTAAAAATAATAATTAGAAATTTAAAAAAAAAGGGGAAATTCTAGAAGTATGAGGTATTATTTTGGATAAACAAAGAAAGTATGAATATTACCAAAAAAAAACAAAGAACATCTTGATTATGTTAAAAAGATAAGAACTCCTATCAGGATAAACAATGTACAAACATTATTTGGCTCAGAAGAACCAAATAATAATTAGATCTAACAACATTTCATGAACAAAAATTTTAAAAGAATGCTGGATAAAAATAAGAGAAATAGGACAGAAATCCAGTCATACATTCAATTAGCAAACTAGTAGAGGATAGCTTATAAAACAGAGAGCAAGATTTATCCACATAGGTCTAAGAGATGAACGTAGAGTTAATGGCCTCACCTCTAGATTTATTTTCTAATTCCCTGAAACAAATTCATATCAGAAAATCAGCCAGTTGAAAACATCACTTACTTAGATGATTCCAGTTCAGGTTACAGCATAAATTTATGAAAACTATTTTTTTACAAGTATATTTGTTGAACT